TGAGTAGTGCTTTTGCTTTTCTCTGTTTAATCCTTCCTTTTGGTAAACTCTGACACTGCTTCAGCCCTTGACTGTGAGGATTTTGTCCATCTGTAAATGCGCATGTTGTACCATTGCTGCTGATGTTTAAGAAGTGCTAACTACCTGACAATTTATTGACTGGAGCCTGACCTTGTTGTGTTCATGAGCTGCAAGATGCTTGTGGCCAGGACTTGGTTGGTCTCCAGACAAAAAGTTATATTAAATGAACCAGAGGAGAAATCCACAGATGCAATTCTGTTGCTGCATCTGGCAATCGAGAGAGGAATGAGAAGGGAACTAAAAATCCCATTACAATTATTCTTGGGTGCTTGGGTAAGAGTTTTCTGTTTCAGAAAAATCAAATAACTTTGAATCTTTGCTCAATGTAGTCTAAGTTGTATGCAACAGGAGGGGAATGAGCTCGTTAAACTTGACAAGAAAGAAGGGAGACCTTCTTTTGGGGTGAGTTTAAGGAATTGGAGTACAGATTAGGAAAAGTGATCTGAAAGATTTCCCTGTGGAGTGGTCAGTATATTGAAATTTTGCTCAAGTTTTTGAAAACTCCCCTTCCCAAGATTTTGTATAGATTATTTTAGTAACAGGATTCAGTGGCTAAATTTCGTTGTCATACCTGTGATTTGGGATAAGTATCATTAACTCATTAGAAGGATTTCATAGAAAATTTGACTCATCATGGGAGAATGTGATTCATGTGAAGTACTGGACCTGGCCAAATAGAGGAGGAAGGTAAGTGCCCCAGCATCCTGTTTCTTGTGTATATAATACAGAATAAATTGTATGAAAAATGCAGTAAAAGCAAATGGGGATTAGTTAAGCAGCCTACTCTCAATATGATAATCTAAGCAACTGTTAACATGGTTTCTTCACACTATAAGCTTTTTACCTAGTGTGAAGAATTCTCATCGAGAAAATGGAGAGATGAACTAGGAAAGAAAACCCTTTCTGTGATAATTACCTGTCTTCATTTTTTAGAAAGCCTAATTTTTCAGAAGCAGCAATTAATTTTGTTGACACACTCAGCCTAAGTTAAGAAATCTCAAGTAAAATCTCAGCTTCCTGAAGTCAACAATAAACTTGTATTTGTGCCAGGAATCTGTGCATTTTTGACGGAAACTTACCACAAAGTCTTGATTCTTGAAAGCCATGGGATATCTCAGCATGTGCATCCAAAAGATGAGGAAGGATAACATAGAGACTCTGAAAATTGTTGTCTCATTCTGCTGACAAGAAATGTAAACATGGAAAAATTAAGAATAATATTTATGTGCAGCATTGCTTAGGCTATAATTGCATAGGTTCCAAATATGAAAAATGAGATGGAATAAAGCACAATCCTTTATCCATACATGTAGGGCTTCAGTAAAAATTGGCTTTTTTTCATTTGAAGTTTTCTTGCTTGGCATCAGGCATTAATGATTTTTGTCTATTTGAAAAAAAAAAAATCATTAAAACATCCAACTGTTCAGTTGGAATTATCATGGTAGCAGCTGGAAATAAAGCTGTACTAGTGAAAAATACAGGCAGGATTTCTGAAAAGCTTTGTTTTTTCTTTTCTGCCTGAAAATTGATAGGCAGATATCAGCTAATTGAATCACAGAATCCTTCGAGTTGGGAGGGACCTTTAAAGGTCATGTAGCCCAACTCCCCTGCAATGAACAGGGACACCTACAGCTATATTAGGTTGCTCAGAGCCTGGTCCAGCCCATCCTTGGATGTCTCCAGGAATGGAACATCCACCACCTCTCTGGCAGACCCGTTCCAGTGCCTCATCACCCCTATGGTAAAACAACAACAACAACAACAACCTTTTTTCTTACATTCATGTAAAATCTCCCCTCTTTTAGTTTGAAACCATTTTCCCTTGTTCTATCACAGCAGACCCCTTTGAAGTCTGTCCCCTTCTTTCTTACAGCCCCCCTTTAGATACTGAAAGGCTGCTGTCAGGTCTCCCCTGAGCCTTCTCTTCTCCAGGCTGAACAGCCCTGGAATTGGAGATTGAATCTTTCAGAAGTATTTGCTTTCTAAACTGCTATCGTTGACTGTAGGCTTCTTGGAAGCAGATTTCTATTTGCTGACTGCATAGGTATTTTGTTGGCAGTCTTTTACTGAAAATTCATGAAATAACATTTGAATTGCTTTTGGATTTCTTCTAGGTTTTTGTTTGATTTTTGAAACCTATGAACTGGGGAACTATTTCATTCCTTCTCCTTTTCTTTTTTTTTCCTTTATTCTAAGTATCTTTGTATCCAGCACAAAGTGGAATGCAAAATAATTGAGTAATTTGTGAGACTGACTACAAAATAACATCCCCCAGCTTTCTCCAAAATTCCCTTTTGTAAGTAAAACTTTGGTTTGCAGTAGAGGCCGTACCATTTTCTTACAGTTCCAGGTTTTCTTTATAACATTAAAACCCATCTTGATCTACTGGGATTTCTGTATATGATGATGCTTTTCTCATTTAATTCCCAGTAACAGCTGAGCATTTAAATTGCTTACAGATTTTTTTTTTTCCCCGTGTTAGTTAAAATATTTAACATTACAAAAGGAACCGAAAATCCCCAGTCACAAGTTTTTACTGCTAGATAGTCTACATGAAACAAAGACTTGTAGGTATTTTGTCCTCTTTTGACATGTGAAACCAGACTACCACTTTCCTACAGAGCTGCTTTCTGAGCCACATAAGCAGTTTGGGATTATGCAGAGAAGACTCAGCCCAGTTTTCTAAGTAACTTTTTCATGCTATGCCACCCACACGGAGAAGTTTGGGGTTTTCCTTGCCTCGCCATACTTCCTTTTATTGTGTCTCCAGTGGCTGTGGCAGTGGATGGCCTGGAGGCTTGACTTGTGACTCTTGAGATGCTTGATGCAAGGAGCTGATATGCAAATGCCTGGAAGGATTATCAAAACATTCTTGCTACACCTCGAAATCAAGGAGTTTATGTGGGCTTGAGAAGTTGAAGCTCAAGTCCAGACTTGAATTTTAAGGCGTGTGCGTTTGTGTCTGGTAGCATTTCTCAGGGGAAATATCCACACTGTAGCTTCTTCAGAGTCAAGGTTTAGTGGTGTCCAGGAATCTGGCACAAGACCTGGTAGCACCAACTCTGCATCAAGGCTTTTCAGCCTGTGAAGCACTGTCCCAGGGCTGATGGTGCAGTTCAGAAGGAAGCCATCTCACTGTAATGATCTCTGTTATGTTTGAAAATGTTTGCTCAGGAGAAAATGTCTGGGGAGCGAGTGGGGAAAAAAGCAAAGAGAAACAATAAAAAGCTGTGCACAATGCCAGCTGCCATCAGGGACTGAAGATTTATTTTCAGAGCATCATCTTTAGAAACATTGCTTCCAATAATTTCATCAGTCTAAAGAAAATTGTACCTTTTATCTTTTTGTTCCGTTTCCAGCGCAGGTTTTTATGGAAGAAGAGGGCTGTTCTGAACGTCAGGCAGGTTAAGCCCTGTGTTTTTGGAAGAGCTCTCTGAAAAAGACTGAGTGCTGTACTGTGGTTGCCCAGGGATGGTACCACAGCCCGTGGTGGGCTGCAGGTGATGGAAATGGGTTTGGAACATGCGATGTACTGTGGGGCAGCAGTGGGCATTCTCGGCAGAGGATTCTCATGACATTTCCAGAAAACCACAAACCATCCCCAAGCACCAAATAAGTATTTTCTGTTCTGAGAGTTTGAAGTAAGCTTTGAATGTGGGAACTTGTTTGACATTAATGGGTAGCATAGAGAACTGCTGTACACTGCAGTGCTCACTGGGAAGGCTGCGAATAGTGTAATCATGAGCAAGCTGCCAATAGTTCAGAAAAAGGGTTTTCTGCATCTATCCCTCCTTGATTATTCACACTTTAGACAGTTTGGTGGGAGTTCTACATAATCTTAAGCTTTCCATGCCCACCAACCTCCTCAATAGAAGCAGCAAGCAGCCTTTTCCCTGTGTGGGGGAGTGTTACTAGCAATATCCAAAGGGCAAATGTGGATTCAGAACATTTTTGCATTCTTTTGGCTAAGGATCAAATGAAATTTGAAAGCCATTTGACTGCCCAGTGCTTCTACTGATGCAGATGGCTGGGTGGCAGGGAGCTGCCTGGGGATCAGCTGGGAGCCCGCTGAGCTTTGATGTGATCCTGAAGCCATCTTCCTACTGAAACAGAAGGTAAGCATTAGGTAAGAATGACTACATTACGCTATTAGATGTTTCAAGATGTCATGTGTCTCTTCTGCAAACAGCCTTCGGAAATGAGAATAAAGATCATCAGCCCACCCCAATTCTGTGGTTAATGCTTTTTCCTGGTTCGATCTGGTTACTTACTTCAAGCATTAATAATCTTGTTGAGGGACTGTCTAACAAATGTATACCAAGGGAAAACAGTTCCGTGTAGTATGACACCTCCTCGTGGCTTCATGTGTGACCAGAACTGGGAGAGTCAGCTCAGTTTGGACCCAGCAGTGCTGCATGAGGAGCAGGCGTGTCCTGAGGTCAGGTGCAAGCAGTGCTGGGGGAGGCAGGGCAGGATGTGTTAAGAAAACAGGCAGTGCCAGCCTGCAGTCGAAAGCTGAAATGCTTTCTGTTTTTACCTGCATGCATTTAAACCAGATAAGCTTTTAGCATGCCTTGTTTCACCTCGGTGCAAATTATTACAGGTGAGCGATAACTGAAAATGTGAGGCTTTAAAATCACTGTAATTTTACAGCTGCAGTGTTTTAATACTCCAGCATCTCCTGTTTCCCAAATAAATGTGAAAGCACAGTTGTGCTCAGAGCTCAGCGCCTGTTTTTCACATGATAAAATGCTGCTTTACTGCTATCTTTCTCCACCCCAATCCCAGGTCCCAATTAAACAGCAACCCCAGGAATCACTTCTTTGTGCACTGATCTGATCTGAAGCCACGAGCAGCTGCAGAAGTTAAGCTGGGCAGGATTTTTCCCTTTGGCACATATTGCATGCCCCTTAATTAGCTGACAAGTGCTTGAAGGCTAGTGATTTTCATTCTGCTTTAGGAGAGGGTTCTTCTTTTGAAGATTTTAATTTCTCAGGTTGGAATTTGAGGAATCGGGTGGTGAAACAGAAGTCTGTAGGGTCCAGCAATCTGACTGCTCTAAGGGGGCTTTGTGAGAGGGAATGCTTGGATTGCTGAGTGGCTGGAGACCCCGTGCTCCCTGCAGCTCTCCTCCTGCCAGAGCATGGCATCTGCAGATGGGGATGGTGTTTCTGAAGGGGAAATGTCACTGTCGAGTTGCTACCAACATCCCGGAAACGCCGCCTATATGAAAATTACTGTACTGGGGAAATAACCCAGATTTTCACCAGACTGATTTGGCTGTGTTGCCAGGCAACACGGGCTAACAGGGGTTTGTATGTGTTCTTTAGGTAGGTGTAGACAGTCCTCATAAGCTCACAAGTAGGCAGAGGCTGACCCACTGCAGCAGGATGAGGAGTCCAGCCCTGCATGCTGAACTTTCACTAAGAGAACTGAGAGAAAAAGCAGCTGGATCAGACCCAGAGCTGACGTATCCTGTTTGATTTCTTTTTCCCTCGCGCTCCGACACGCTTTGTGTTTCGGCAGGCTTTTGTTTCTGCATACAACTTGCTGTAAAAAATTGGGGAGCGTGTCTAGGGGTGCCGGCGGCGATGTACTGAGCTCGATGGGCTGGGTTTCCTGTGAGGGCTTTGTTCCTCCTACCACGCTCAGGTCGGTTGTGCAACATGCCCCTACGCTTTGAGAAGAAAAAAAAAAAAAAAAAAAAGTGCTGAGTAATGCCAGAGGTTTCTCAAATGGCTGATGCAAACCTGGAGAATTTGCATCATCATTCAGCTGGAGTAACTTGGTACGACAAGAGCTTAAATACAGGTCCACGCGGAAGCTGAGCTGGTTCCCAACGATAGGGCAGTGCCCGTGGGCAGGGTGAGGGTGCAGGTGCTGCGAGCACTGGCAGGCAGCGGGGCAGAGCACAGCTCTACCTGCACGTAGGAGCAACCCCGCCGATAAGAGGCGGCGGAGGAAGAGGCTGAGAGAGGAGAAAGCTTGTGAACTTTTTGGCTGCGCTCGCTGTCAGCACGCTGGTGACACGGTAGCATGGTGAGGAAAGCTGCCGTCGTGACGGTGTCTAATGGGAGCTACTTGCAGGGGCAGCCGAACGGCAGGTTGCCCTCCATGGACAGCAGGCAGCCACAGGAGAAGGTGGTACTGAAGAAGAAAGTCACGCTGCTGAGGGGGATCTCCATCATCATTGGCACTATTATTGGAGCTGGCATCTTCATCTCACCCAAGGGGATCCTGAAGAACACGGGCAGCGTGGGCATGTCCTTGATGGTCTGGACAGCATGCGGCATCCTCTCGCTCTTCGGTAAGTCTGCTCAATGCTTCCAATTGGTCTGGAGGGGCAGCCGGTGGATTATTCCTATTTTTTGTCTGATTTTCCATTGGATATCAAGGCTCAGCATGGAGCCTGAGGACCAATGGGGCCGCGGAAGGCTTTTGCTCTGCAACAAGCTGCATGTGAGGCACAGCAGTCCACAATCCCTGTCACCCAGCACTGTGTCAGTGCAGGTTGTGAGTGCAGGCTGTTTCTCATGGGTCCCTAAAGAAAAAAGCAAGTGCTGGCTTTCTGTCATTAGCTGTGCTGTTTGTAATATGCTGTTCTTCTGGCTGTAAGAAGTAGCTCACAGCTTGCTTGTGAGGCCCCCTGGCAGCTGGTGTACAGGGCAAAGTGTGGAGGCAGCTTTGCTTGGTTCCCTGGAGGCTCAGTCAAGGTCTCAGGGAATAACTCCCACCGGGTGTAATCTGTGTTGGTATGAGAGGGAGCAGAGCAGTAACACCAACAGCCCCTCTCCCCTGTCTCATGTTACTGCTTTTCACTTTATTCCCCGCTTGCAGGGTGCCTTGAAAAGTTCGGGTTGCAAGGATGAATGCAGAAGAAACAAATGGCGTGAAATGAGTTTTATGGCTGGCCTGCCCATTGTGACAGTTTTTACTAATTTTGCTGTGTTTCTTTTTAACAATATTACATTCTGAAGAATGCTGGGTGGTTTGTTCTGTACACAAAGCCCCATTCAGAGCGGAAAACCCCACCCTGGCTCCTAGGGGACAGTGGGTCCATTGACCTCCTTAATGAGTTAATCTCAAAGAAGCGGAGGAACTAACATGAGTATTGGCTTTATTTAAAACAGAGACGACTTGTTTTCTGGCACGAGGTAGAGAGGACAAATAGGGGCTAACACGTGTCTGTCTAATAGGTGGAATGTGCAAATGCCACCCTGTGTAACTTGGCTGTGAGCTTAAAAGCAGCATTGAGTGTTTGGAGGCTAAGTCCACCCAAGCCAAACAGACGTTTCAAGAAAGTTAGGACCTGTTCTAGTCAAATGTTAATTGTATTGGCACAATGTGCAACATGTTTTGTTGTCCAAACATTTAAGTCCTGCCTGTAACAAAAAATTCCCCTATAAAGAAACACCTCAAATACAATTTGTAACCCTGTCATAAGACCCTGGTCTTTAGATGTAGTCAAAACATCTAGGAGATGCTTAAGAATTTGCTTAAGCATCTCCTATTTAGCTTTAACTTCAATAGTAGTAATTTTCTGACTGTGAAGTAAAGTCTGTGGAAAAAAATCAGGTGGTTTTTCCTGGGCATTTTCCAGATCTCAACATTCGGAGATCTGTCTAATTTGGTCCAGTAAAAGTTATTACCTCTTCCCTCTAAATGGATCTGCTACAGTTGTTATTTCATAATATTTTTGTCATTAATGTTTCTCATTTCCTACAAGACTTAATTATGGTAAGACCTCATATAAAGTCAGCTAGGCTTTTGCTGAGGCTGTCTGTGCAGTATGTATCAAAGCATGGTTTGATTTCATTCTGAATCACTCCAGAGAGGGTGGCAGGAGAAAGCCTGTGAATATACTTTTTTTTTTTTTTAAATGTGGCTCTAAGAATTTCTGTAAGTACCTTTCCAGGAAAGCTAAAGATGATTGGATAAAAGCTGTCATGTTTTTGCAAATCCCCAAACAAAGCAAAAGAATGAGGATGTAATGTGTTGTGAAATCTTACGGCTTCATTGGGATTGGTACGTGTCAGGTGGTTTTGAAAACTGTAGTTTTCACCTTAACTTGTAGCAGCATAAAAGCAGGTGGGGAAAAGGCTTTGCATATGTTGCTGATCCGTGTAATGCTCTGTGTAATGCAGTGCTTACAAACTGGTTTTCTTGTGGCTCCTTCAAAAAGGGCTGCCTGCATTGAGCAGACCCAGTGCCCTCTTTGCCCATGGAGTGAAGAATCCACCGGCCGTAAGGCTGGGTGATGGCCATGATGCTGCGCTAGCAGGTGGTTTGTGTAGGCCTTCATGGTCACAGTGTGCTGTTACCGCTCTGTAATGCCTGAGGTGATGCATCATGCCAAAAGTAGCCTTGAGGATCTCCTTGGGGAGCTGTTTGCTGGGAAATCAAAAGCTGCCCCAGTGCTGATAGAGCGAAGCCATTGCCTGAGTTTGGTGCGCAAGATTTTAGCAGTACCAGTGAGGAAAATCTTCCACCTGTGACTCCTGCTTCTAAACGTGAGCCAGTTGCTTGCTCTTCCCATGGCTGAGGAGGGAGAGGAATGCCATATTCAGGCTTTCCTCCAGGGATGAGGCAGGTTTTCTGAAGCTGGATGGCACCGGGCAATATTTGCTCACAACTGTGTGTCAGAGGGCTTTGCACTGTTGGCATGATGCACCACTATGTGCCACACCAGTGTGGGTGAGTAACAAGCACCTTGCTTGTAAACACTTTGTGCCATGGCTTACACAAGTCCATCTGAATGACATGAAACTTCTAACCCTCTTGAATAAAGAACATGTAGGATTAGAATGTATCAGAAGTTGTTGTGTTACTATGGCAGCTTGCTTGTTCACCTTACAGATGTTTGGAAAGGTGTTTCTGGATATCTCTTGTGATGCCTCAGTTTCATTCTCACAGGTGCCCTCTGCTATGCTGAGCTGGGAACATGCATTAAGAAATCTGGTGGTCACTACACGTATATCCTGGAGGCCTTTGGCCCGCTGCCTGCTTTTGTGAGAGTCTGGGTGGAACTGCTCGTTATTCGGTAAGTTTGTTCCTTCTCTTGTGGCACGACACTTCTCAGTCATGATGAAAACTCTGCACAAAAGAAATCAAAGATATCTTCATCTATCAGCTAAGTTTTTTAGTGTGGCTGCTCCAGACAATTTAACAATGCTATTTTGCTTCTTACTGTTGAAACATTCGAAAAGACATATGTGTATGTATGGAAAAAAAGAGATTCTACAAAAGCTGTCTGTCACACAAATTCAGCAACTTGTTTTGATTTTGCTAAGCTTACTACATCTGTAGATGTTAATACCCGTGCCTATGTGAAGTATAGTGGAAGGGGAATGTCATCTTTACATTTTCTAAGCCTAGGTGCTGGCTTTTGGATCAGTCTCTGTTGCCTGTGGATACAGAAATAACTCAGAAGATTTGAGATCTGGGTGCACTGTGTCTTCTCTAGATGTCAATTCTGGTCACCATCTTGTGTTATCATGTTGTGTTGGAGAAGCTACTACAGAAAGCTGGCCAAATAAAGCAACATTAAGTCCTCATTTATCTAAAATGCTCAAAGTACTGATGTGGTGTGTAAGCTTGTGGTTGATACAGCCCTTGGCATTGTATAGGGCAATTGCAACAAGTAGATGCAGAATGACTAGATTGCTGCAAATAAATTTGCATAATGTAAAAGGATCTTTTAGTCAAACTAAAATGTGGCCCGTTTTAAAATATATATATATATTATTTTACAGTATTTGTTGAACTGGATAGAATAGGGCAGTTCATTTGTGTGACATAAACTCAGGAATGCTGCGTTCCCGCCCTAGGCCAATCAGCACTTCCTCGCCTTCTCTTCTGATATGAGCAAATGAATCACCGACGCACAAGCCTCATCACAAATCACATTTATGTTTACATAATATTGACGAGTTCTAGCACAGACTGTTGAGTTTAAAATCGCTAACAGTGCTGACTCATTATGAAACCGTAAATCCTTATCTCATTTCCAGAGGAAATGATTGTGCGTGTCAGATGGCCCCTTGCATCCTCCTCACTCATACGTAACCTTTGAATAAACTCCATCAAATGTGACAAAAGAGTGGATCCCTTAATCTTATTAAATGCTCTCTGAAAAGAAAACCAGAAAGAGGAAACGGAGTTACGGTTTTCATCGAGGGAAGCAGTGGTGCGAACATAGTTATACCCTTACACAATCATGAAAGGAGGGTCATGTGAGAAATCCCCTTGTTAACCTGCACCCTAGTAGGCGGGGGGATGCTTTTCCTAGGATGAGTACCCACAAGAAACCAGACCTTGTAAATTCCTCTCCCCGATTATTGTTTTCATTTCTTTTGTACACACGACGGCGTACCAGGAGTGTCATCAAAACACTCTTAGTCATTGCACTCTGCCCCACACCCAGTAAATAATCACGTTGCATGGGAAAGAACATCAGTGGGTCCTTTAATCATCCAACCCAAGAGGCAGCGAGGGAGATGGACTTGTTGTAACTTGTGATCAGAGCGGCACTGCCAAAACTCTGGGCACAGTTTTAGGGCTGACTCTGGCATGGCAAACTAGTTGGCTGCAGCTACCAAAGGGGCTGAGCCTTGGTGCATAGCGGTGTTATTGTCAGGGGGCTGAGCTGCACACACACTTCTCACTTCAGCCTTTTTTTTCCTCTGAACGATTGCGGGATTTTCATGCCCACAACCAAAATAAACATTTCCTGTTCTCATATATACTTACAGCCACTATTTTATGGTCTAAGACACGCTTAGCTGTGTCCACATACTGAGTAAACCATGCTAGCATCGCCTGTAGAAGCGCCCCATGCTCCTCATTCAGTACAGGTGGGAGTCAGGTGTATTATGTACCTAAAAACAAGAAGAAAAAAAAAAAAAAGGAAAAAAAAAAGGCAGGTTCTCAAACAAGTGAGAATGACTGAAGGAGTTGTCTGCAGCACTTGGATCTGGTGATTGCCCACAAGTTGGGTAAGAGCATACTGCTGAAGAGGTGACTCATGCGCCTGCAGTGTGTGCTGCCGGCCCTCTGCCTGCCCCTGCCCGCTGGCTTTCTTCTTCAGAAGAAAGCTTTTCTCTTTGCCCTTAAATGAAAGCTGCTAATTTGCTTTCTGTGCATTTGTGAACGCACAGCTGTTTGGAGCCTGCTGATCCTTATGATTGCAGTCAAAAGGAAAATGCCCCATTCCCTCAGCCTTGGCCTCAACTGGCTGAATGCACTGCCAGCAGCATCTCTCCAAGTGTGAGAAGCCAGGAAACTTAGCTATTTATTAAAGGTATAACCTTAACGAGCTTTGTTTTTAAAAGTGAATGGTGTGGAGCTGGATTTTCCTTAAAAGAAGGGAAAAGTCCAGGTTCTGGAGGAAGGAGCTGAGACTGAGAAGACAAGCCAGGGAAAGCTTCACAGATCTGCTCTTCTGTCTGATCTAGATCAGTTCAAACTGGGCAGATACAGACTGTGAGAGCTGGAGGCCGGTGAGCTGCCTATGTCAGATAGGTAAAGGCAGCAAATGGATGGGTAGAACAAGTGCCCAGGCTATTGTCTACCTTCACTTGAAGTAGAAAGTGTCTTAGGAAGATGCTTCAGGTCTTTGCTCCCTGTGGTTTTTTCCAACGCAGTGTGTGATGCTTTGGTTGGGTTGTGGCTGTTTTTGGTTCAAAGGTAAAACTCTCTGGTGGGAAATCCAATTTAGCATTTCAGTGAACAATAACAACTTCTCTGCAGTATTTTCACACAGTTCTTAGCAACTGCGTTTTAGTTAAAATTCAGCTGGGAGAGGTATATTCTGCACTTAAGGCATTGTTTTATTAAATGCTGTAGATTTTTCATAACAAATTTGCAGGGACTCTTGTTTCACTCAAAAATCCTTTGAGGTCCCCTTCCTCCTTGCTGTGTGTAGCAGTATGATGGAGATCAGATCCTGTGATCTGTCCAGTGGAAGGTAACATGTGAAGGCTTCTTGCAAATACTTAGCTTGCCTCGAGGAGAAAGGCTGCAGGGATATTATTTCAGATTGGGAAATGCAACAGGCTTGCCTGCCTTTCATTATGTTCCTCTGTTGCATGGAAGGGGCTTTCCGTACTTTGAGGATTTTCCCTGTCACAGTGCTGGAAAGTTGTTTGTCAGTAAAAATGACACGCATTTTAAATAGTGCTTACATTTTAGGAGATGCCATTTTAGTTCATCTTTTATATTGTCTGTGACTTCAGTAACAGATTCGGGTTAATTTTGTGATTCGTATTTCAGTAAAGCAAAATTCTCATCCTCACTGAAATTAATATGCTTGTCTATGAAGGGTGAGAATGTATCTTGCCACCACAGTTCAGTCTTCAACAACTTTTAAACTTTTAATTTGCCTATACAAATTAAATCTGTCCGTGTTCACTGTGAGCATGGGAATGAATATTTGCATTGATGCATCTCCTTTCTTTGTATGGCTGCTTCACACCATGGAAGTAGTAAAAACCCCACAGGATAAGAATTGTCACTGGCAGGATCAGAGCCACTGAGCAAAGCCAAACATTTTCTGGTTGTCTGTTATGCTCAGAAATCATGGCCCATGGTGCCATAGTCACCAATAGGCACCAAATCTGGGTACACCTTGTGGTTCTGTGATAATAATGCTACAGCGTGATCCCAAATGAGTATTGTTTACATGCTATTGCAGATTAATTTTGTGATTTTTTTTTCTCCTATTCTTATTTTTTTTGCTCTAGCCCTGCTGCCACAGCAGTGATATCTTTGGCATTTGGACGCTACATTTTGGAACCTTTCTTTATGCAGTGCGAAATCCCAGAACTTGCAATTAAACTTATTACAGCTGTTGGCATCAGTAAGTATCCGATTTTAGTTGTCAGAAAGAGTAAAGATGATGTAAATTAGGAAAAAGAAAAAAAAAAAGTTAATCGGACACTGAACAGGTAGTTGTTGGCTGTGAATTGTTGCAGAATGTGTGTGCATCCAGGGCCAAGGACATCGGTATGAATTTTTGCCTGAGTGTGTGTTTCTGATGGTACGCAATAGTAAAAAAAAAAAAAAAAAAAAAAAAAGCAGAGCAGACTTTATTAATGGCAGAAAAAGATCTATTGCTAAGCCTGATTCTGTTGCCACTTGAATTAATGGCAGAACTCTTATTACTTTTGTGAAAGCAATTTCAGTCCCTGGGAGGTGACGAGCCCGTGCCAGAGATACAGAAGAATGATTACTTGATTTTAAGTGCGTTGCTCTACCTCTGTTTTAGAAGGCAAGCACTTGCCAAGTATGATGCCATGAAGAAATGTAGCACTTCTGACTGGAGCACATGCAACATGAGATCATCATCTTTAGTCCCTTACTGTCCTATGCAGTGATAAAACTTACTGAGGCACTCACAGCTTGGGAAGCAGGAACCCAAATGACTTTGGGAGCAGGGTGTGCGGTTGGCTCGAGATGCTCATTTGTTATGAGTAGCTTCTTCTCCTCTTTCCAACTTTACAATTAGTGTAAAGAGACTGTTTGGGGACACCAAGAAGTAAAACATGCTGATGGCAGGAAGGAGGCTAGCCCTGGGCAGGGGCTTCTTGGTGTGCCTGGACAGCGTGTGAAGCTGTGTGAAATAGAAAGCACGGTCCTGGTGCAAATGAGACTTAGAGCCATTCAGCAGTAGAGGTTTGTTTCCAGTTTTGTGCAGTGATCGTGGATGATGCTCCTCACTCTCTTCTCACACACACACACACACTCAGCTGTGCTGGGAGGAGCGTGCAGAGCAGATCGGAGTAATTAGTAACAGATTGTTCCTTTCAATTCGGCCAGTGCACTTATCAGAAACAAAAGGGCTGGAAAAAGGAATTAAGACATGCGAAATGATCAAAGGCATGCAGGGGACCACTTTAATTTTGCACAATAATAGGTTCAGATGACTTTTTCTTTCTTTGGGGTAGAGAGTTCAATTGACATGGAAATTTTCGGTCTCCAGGTTACTGGGGCTTTTTGTAGGAGCTCTCTTGATAAGAGCTCTCTTCTGCCAGGAGTGTTAAAAAATCAGTGTGTGACCGCATTTCTTTCTGACTTAATTATGCACAAACTATAGGTTTCATAGGAATAATTGAATTAAGGCTTGAATTTCGAGGTCAATGACTTTTTATGGCTACATCTGTCTAAAATATTTCAGTGAAAGATAAGGATGAAACAGATGTTCAGTAACTTCAAGGTCACTGAGACAGAAGGAATGTTAAGTGAGGAGTCCATTAAAAGTGTTTTGTTAAGTGCATTGCGATTCAAGCACAATAAGCGAACAATTTGAAATAGATTTTTATTGCTTTTAATTTAATTGAAAATCTGTGTGATAAGCCGAGGCTACACAAAGTAATTAAACAAAGAAGTAACACTGCGGTGGGAGGGGGGGGGAGGGGGGTGGAGATACGCTGGAATAATTACACCCTGAAGGGAGATGGGAGTTCACAGCAGCCTGTTCCTATGGTGACCGAGGGTCTGTGCAGAGCAGGTAGGATGTGCTGCTGTCTCACTGAAGCGAGAGATTTTGGTAGAAAGTTTGTAATTGTGAATGGGACGGTGCTGAGAAAAGCGGGGGCCTGTCAGACTGAGGCTTCGTTTTAATTCTTCGCGCTGTGCTTTGTAGTGGATTTTCATTTGTGGTGGTTTTTTGATCCGATGCTACATTCTGGGCTAAGCTATCTGAGAACATACAGCTGTTATTCTTGCACTGTGAGAATTAGCTGGTGTGGTGACTGTGATGAATGTTCTGTGTTGTGCTGGTAGGCAGAGTGATAGGTGAGATTAAGATGTTGAGCTGCACAGACACATTGGAGCCCTGAAGATCTTATAATCCAATTTAACGGTGGCAAAGGTAGTGTTTACGTCCACCGGAGATTTTGTTAAGTTAATGAAAATATGAGCTTATGAGCTTTTTGTCATCCTATCCACCCTCGGTCTCTTCTACCGCCTACATTTGCAGAGTGCTCACTATATACCTACTGCATGGGGAGGAAGGTAGTAAGAAGCATCACTAACGTGTGTCCTTGAAAGAAACTTTACTTTGTAGTGTTATCCTGTATTTTCTGATCATACTACAAAGGAAAGGAAGAGATTTTGAAAAATCTCCAGGCAGTCCCCTGCCCCAAAAACGATCAGTGCATCTCTAAACAGCTCCCAACAGATGTTTGTCTGCAGTTGCAGTTCCAGGGGTGAGTTTCTGCACCTTACCCAGTGCTGTAGCCCAGTTTTTCCTGTCCTTTTCACAAGAGCGTTTTTCTTATTCTTTTTATTTTTTTTTCTTTTTAATCTAAACATTCTGTTCTGCAATTTAAGCCTATTATTCCCTGTGTTATATAGAGTGAATATGGAGGGCAGTTCTTCCTTTCCTCTTTATGGTCAGCAGGACAGGTTTGTGAAGGGAGATAATCGGGGAGCAGTGAAATACTGCATAACAACATCGTGTGTGGCCAAGAATGATATTCATGAGAGCTCCTTTTGAACTGCAATGCAAAGGTTGCCTGAGATGGATGCAGGCAGGATTAAGATGGCAGTGGCAGACACTGCTGACCCTCAACTAGCTGCAGAAAAACATTGCTTGCAGAGTGGCCATAGCTCACTCCTCTCCCACTCTTCCACCTCCTTGTCTCTGAGATGCAAAAGGAAAAAGGGTGCTGCAGAGAAGATGGAGATCATATGAAAACTAAAATGGAACCATGGGAGATGGTGACCTTTAAAGATATTTCCATCTTTATTCGTTATTTATAGAAGCAAAGATGTGCTGGGCATAAAGTTCACCCTAAAATCACACCTGTCCTGAGCTGTAGATGCATATTTTCTGTTCCAGGCTATGGTGCTTTTGTCATAGGTACTTTTTTCTTTCTTACTCTTTTAAACAAAAAGTCTTCTTCATATTTATTGCTTTTCCCAATGAAGAAGACATTTACAAAGCATGGAGACAGGCAGTGCAAAAGAAAAATAAAAATCTACATTCAAATTTTGCTTTATTTGTATCTTTTAACTCTTTTCGTAATGTTAAGCTTATTTGTAATAGTGAGCAAGAGCTTATGCTGTGTTAACATACTGAACTGTATTGTTGATGTATAACCTGAATGGCACGCAGCTTTAACTGAGCCAGTTCTAATCTTTTCATTTGGTCTAAATATCAGAAGTCAAATAAACAGGATTCAACTATAAGGAACTGTGAAACTGAAAGCAGGTTACCAACTCTCACATTCATAAAGTTTTTCAATTCAGTCAAGCGCATTTAGGGTAAAATATGTAATTTTTCCTCTCTTTGTGTTCGAAGATCTGCCAAAAAGACCTAATTACCCAAGTCGTGTCTGCTAGACAGAAGCCATATCGTGCTTGGAAATCAAGGTCAGCTCTACAGATCTGTCAGGGCTTGCTGGCAGATACTCTGGGAATTTTTGTTGGCATCAATTGTGGATGTACACGGGAGCCAATAGCTGCTTTTTCTACCTTCACGGCAGATGCTGTGGACACTGCTCTCCCCTGCTGACAGTTTTCAGACAAATGGTTTAAATTAAGACATCACTTGGCTGTAGGAATAGCAAAAGCTGCTCCGATGGGTGCTTTTGTGCCTCCTGTGACTTCATTTTAATTGATGCATTAAAAGCCACAACCTAAGGATACTTTTTGCTTTGAGTAAATGCCTTGACCCTAACAGCCTGACAAGTCAGGAGAAGACAGCTCCCATGGCTTCCTGCTGAGGCAGGAATGGTACACATATTCCTGAAAAGTAGGCTGGGATGCTTGCTGCTGCTTCTCCCATCAGGTGTTGTTATCCATTTATAGCTGTGGCTGTGTGAAGGGTAAGGATTGTGAAAAGTAACATGATTAGTGTTACCAATTGTTCACAAACCCTGTTTGTTCTCTCTCCATAGTCCCCTAGATTAGGATTCATCTCACTTTTAGTTAGGTATTTAGTTATAGCCAGTTGCCTCAGCTTCCTGTAAAATTAGTGAAGAAAGAGGGGGGGGAGGCAGGGGAGAGGGGATATCCTTCCTGAAGGCAACTGTTCTCTTTGCTAGGCGTCTGAAAGATGGGTGATTAATCATCCTGTGGAGGTAAATGGAGGATGCTGGCAGACCAGCCACCTGACTTTTAGCTAGCCAATTGTGAGGTGAGTCCTGCTTTTACTGTCCTTTTGTCTGGGGACTTACTGTGTCCTTCTGATCTTTGCTGTGATCCTGTATCAAAGTCTCTGCTATCTTGAAATATCTCTGCAAGATCCTATTTGTAGAAGTGTGCTGTTGATAATGACTACAGACCCAAGGTAAAATTTCCATCTTCATTTGTGCAGTTGCCCAACTCTGCAAGGGACTTGCTCTTCTGGAGGACCATCCAAACTAATGGCACTGTGCACTGGACTGGCTGCAAGCATAGCCTTCTTTTACCTTTCTAGTCAAATGAAGATCCTTGCTGTGTCCATTTTGCTTCCTCCATTTCATTAAGAAACCTCAGCTGAAGCACTCTGCTGGTTTGAGTTCGTGGGCAGGTATGGGAAAAGTTTAGCAGCCTGCTCACATGGAGGTTGTCTTTACAGAAACATTGGTCTAGGTGCTTTTCTTTCAAACCACTTGGCTCTTAGGCACATTTGTGGTTTGTGATTTGTGTGTGCCTGATGAGCAAGCAAGGTGATGAGTGGATCAAAATTAGTGTTCATTCTAGTTTGCCATCTGGTGACATTCTCATATATGTATCTGGATGGGTAAAAGCGATGCATTAATGACACTTGAGGAGGATGAGGATGCTCACATAACCTACTCTGCCACAGGTCACTAGCAGACTGATTGCTGCAGGGGTTTCGAACTCTGAGTATGCTAGATGTCAAGTCACAGGTCTTTTCCTGAGATTGGAACTCTTAGGTGACATTTTCTCATAGCCTGGTCCCTTCCTGGGCTTGTGCTGTGGAGTAGAAAAAGGCAATATAGTGAACTTTGCAAGAAATCTGAAAAGAGTGCTTGTTTATGGCATGGGATTTCTTAATAGCTTAATCACTGTTGGTTAAATAAGTATGTTAATATACTATGCTTGAATGACAACTGTTAGACTTTTCTACCCTATTTTCCTGGTGATCAAGCCTTAAGAAAGAGGGGGAGCCTCAGTAGCACTGCTATTTGGCAGTGACTTAAGAGGACCTTTCAGCATCTCAGTGAGTGAAATTACATCATAGTAATATTGGGAAAGTAGACTTATGAGATGAGCCCCATGGATTTTCTGTTTCCTGCCAAATATACTCATGCAAGGATTTAGTAAACCAAAAAAGTGTTTGGGTCTCAAGTGAGACCATAAGACCAGGTGATTCTTCTGTGACTCAGAAAATGACATCTCAGTCCTAAAATATGGTAAAATACAGAACTGGAAAAATATCATAACCTTTAATATCTTTTTTTTTTTTTTTTTTTTTTGTGTGTGTGTAAATTTAAAACCAAGTGATAGTGTGAGTTTGTGTTGACTTTGGTCAACAACATTGGTTGATTTTGGTAAATTGTTCAGTTGAGTGTGGGGCCTGCACTTTCCCAAATACAAATATCAGAAAATGTTGTATATGTTTTTTTTCTGGATTGCTTGTATTTTTCTCACAGAATCATAGAATGGCCCAGACTGGGAGGGACCTCAAGGATCATGAATCTCCAACCCCCCTGCCACATGCGGGGCCACCAATCTCCACATTTAATGCTAGACCAGGCTGCCCAGGACCCCATCCAATCTGGGCTTGAACACCTCCAGGGACTGGGCATCCACAACCTCTCTAGGCAGCTGTTCCAGCACCTCACCACTCTCATAGTAAAGAACTTCCCCCTGACATCCAACCTCAATCTTCCCTCCATCAACTTCACATCATTTCCCCTTGTCCTGCAGTTATCTGCCCTTTCAAAGAGTTGATTCCCCTCCTGTTTGTAGGCTCCCTTTAGGTACTGAAATGCTGCACTGAGGTCACCCTGCAGCCTTCTTTTCTCCAGGCTGAACAAGCCCAGCTCCCTCAGCCTGTCTTTGTAGGGGAGGTGCTCCAGCCCTCTGATCATCTTTGTGGCCCTCCTCTAGACCCTCTCCAACAGCTCTCTGTCTTCTAATCTTTTTGATTTAAACAGAGAATTGCTTATAAATACACTTTGGCCTTGCCACTGGCCAGAATCGATACAGAAGGCGTGGGACAGCCCAGCTGCTTCTGCAGCCAGAGCCCTGTGCTGTGCCGGGTTTGTGATGCCAGCTTCCACAAACCTGCAGGGTCTGGTGGGAGACAGTGCCTCACAATTCTACGCATCCTGTGGTGTGCTGTGTGGCTGATGAGGCAGATAGAGCAGCACTCTTGGGAGGGCTGGAGAGAAGGAAGAGCTGTGATGAAGGACTAATTCATTAGTTCCACACGATGGAAGGAGGGAGATGATCAATGAGCAGGCTTGTTGTGCCACACTCACCACCCTGTGGCAGAAGGGAAAAAGGGATTTTTATCTAGTGAAATGACTCACATTTTCCATTCAGTTAGTAAATATTTTTTTTAGGTGAGCTACTTTATTGATTCTGTTTTGCCAGGGTAATTGTTTACGTAAACTGGAATGAGTGGCACTTGAGCTGTATGACCTCCCATCATTGAGTTCCAGCAGGGGCCCAGTGGGATGTGTATCAGGCAGGCAAGGCACGGAAGCTCCTCTTCCCTGGGCTCCTTGGCTTGGTGAGGTGTGAACCTGGGTTTTGGTTTCCTCACCAGTTCCCATTATGGGCGGGAAAGCCACTTGCACTTTGGCCCTCCTGTGTCGCCACAGAGTGGCTGCACAGGAGGGGAAATAGCAAGAGAAAGGAGGAGGTGTAAACAAGGCAGCGAGTGACAAATTCATGCGGGGCCTGAATGGGGGCGAGAAAGTTTAATGTCATTATTAATTGTTACTGTTTTCTGGAAATGCAAATCTCTAATCAAACTGGCACCGGTGCAGAAATCTGGAGTGACGGGGCTTGTGCAATTATTTTTTTTCATCTGAGGCAGCTTCTGTCAGCCTGTCACCTACCAACAGCTAACAGTCCTGGGTAAACGAAGCTTTAATTTGGTGCGAAAGGAGCCAAGTGGAGAACGGAAAAGTGGAAGGGTCTAAGAAGGGCTCAGCTCAAACGTTTAGTAGTACGGAGACTGTAAGGGAAACATGAGAGGGGTGGGAGGGCAGCAGGTAGAGAAGGCTATCAGGGCGTTATTTCTTTCAGTGCTGCAAAGTCTAGTGTTCGTGCAGCCTCAGAGAGTTTTGTGGTGATTTCAGCGGAATGAGTATTTCTTTCTGACTTTTCTTTTTCTTCTTGCAGCGCTAGTGATGGTCCTGAATAGCACAAGTGTCAGCTGGAGTGCCCGCATTCAGATTTTCCTTACCTTTTGCAAGCTTGTAGCAATTCTGATAATTATAGTCCCCGGAGTTATCCAGCTAATTAAAGGTATGAAATGAAAAGTAAATGCTTTTAAAGTGCTTTTATCTTTACCCTCCCCAGTCTCCCCCCACCTGCCTCCACCAAATAATGCTTATAGCAGCAAAATCTCTTAATTAGTCTCTGCTTGTTCAACTGGAGCTCTGTACTGTCATGTAATTGATTAGAGGTGGAACTACACTGGGATGAACTGGTATTTCCTTCTGCATGCCAATGAGACTATTCAGATAGAGTTGGTTTTCAAGCCAGTGACAGGATTGCCCTTCTCTGTAAATTGCATTCTGTGTGAACTTTGGGAACTGTGCTGGTGCCTGCTTCTCTTCAGCACAGGGGTGTGGTGGTCACAGGGGCTCAGATTTGGGGATGTATGAAAGAAATGTTATTGTGGAGGCTGTTCCAATTGTGGGTGCTAATCTTTAATCTATCAGTAGGAATGGCTGTGATGATTCATTATCAGAGAGAAATGAATGATGTAGAGGTAATGTCTTGGGAAACAAGATAGCTAGCTGCTGTTTTCACAGACTCCCTGCCTGCAGTTCTCTAGGATGCTCAGCTGCATGCATGCTTTACTTCTTAGAATTGAAAAACAAAGCATGCAGCTATATCATAGATTAGAATCACAGAATTGTTAAGATCAGAAAAGACCTTTAAGAACATCTAGTCCAACCGCCAACCCAACACATCCATGCCCACTAACCATGTCCCTCAGTACCACATCTCCATGTTTTTTGAACACCTCCAGGGACAGTGACTCCACCACCTCTGTAGGCAGCCCATTCCAGTGCCCGACCGCTCTTTCTGAGAAGATTTTCCTAATGTCCAACCTAAAGACGATAGTCTGGGCCTATCCAAGTGTAAGAAAGGAAAACAGGCCAGATCACTGCTGCCTGAGCAAGGAGTATGAAAATATCCTGCATGGACATGGTATGCAGCCTTTTCCTGCTGACATTTTTGGATGACTATTTCCATGCAAGCTTTGTTCCTGCATGGGTCCTCCCTACTGCAATGTTCAACTGCAGATAACCATCCATGAGGAAAGATGAATGTCCGGTGTTCCTTAGTGGCAGTACATTTACACCAGCAAGAAGACTAGTGGCTTTGTCAGCACCTTCCTCCATTATCAAAGGATTGGAAAGATCTTTACTGAATATTCAGTCTCATGGTATATATAATGTTTCTGGACAGAGACTTTGGTTTTCACACACTCATTTTGATACTGATCTTTGGCACTCAGCTATTCCTGCACCTTTTCTGCAATCTGCCTTGCACTTTTTTCAAAATGTCTAAACATTTGCATTTAGAGAAGCATGATTCTTGCTATAACATAAGCTACAGTGCTGCCTATAATGCAGAAGAGAAACTTATTAAATACTGAGAACTTCAGTCACGGGAAGGCTTAAGATACTGGGTTTGTTTACTTTACAAATGTTTCTTATAAGTGAAATGCTATTAATGCTCCATCTGAAGAAAATGTTAACAAACAAGGGAAATGTTTATCGCAAAAAACCCAGAGCTCATTTTGCTCTTTAGTGTTGATATAAGTCACTGCTGGAGACAACAGTGTGGTGTGTGTCATCAAACTCAGAATGCTTTACAAAAACGAACAGGTCAAATTCTGCTGTGACATGGCTAAGGACACCACAAGAACCTTTTACAGTTGCTGGCAGAATTTGGCTGCGAAGGTTGGGTCAGAAATTAAGGTCAAGGGCAGAACTTGAAGTCAGTGAACCACTGGGTGATTAAATGTTCCATGTTGTGATATATTTATTTGTTTTAAAGTAGGAGGTGACCAAAGAGCTTGTTTTTCAATTTTATTTTTTATTTTTTGATGTTGCAGGAGAAACACAGCACTTTAAAAATGCCTTTTCAGGGAATGATGCCAGTATTATGGGATTACCACTTGCTTTCTATTCAGGAATGTACGCCTACTCAGGCTGGTAAGTTGTTGAAACCTATAAGCATTTGTCCTGAAAGCAAACACTAATATGAACTAACAGAGGCATTTATTTATACAACAGATTGAGTCGCCATTCTGCCTCTTTTGCCAAACAGCATCGTGTAGTAAGGATAGCTCTTGCTGCTCTCCCATATGCTCGGTAGCTTCTCTGTAAGCAGCTCTGAGAAGGAAAGATTATTCTTCTTCGATATGCAGTATGTAAGCACTCAGTGAACACTAAAAAAAATCAGGCGTATTTCTGTTCTCAAGGCTAGAAAGAAGAGCAACAAGAAATGAACATTTTTAAATTCTTATTAAGTATTTTAATGGAAGGCTAAAAGTGATGATAATGCATTATTATCTTCAACAAGATTTTGTTGAAGAAGACAATGAAGATTACATGAAAAAAATCTCTCTCAACTGATATAAAGTTGTAGATCTCCATCCCACTTGTGCAGCCCTCAGCCTTTGCTTTGTAAAAGCAGCGTTTTAGAATCAGAAGCAAACTCTGATAAGGCCAGTGCAGACCACGAAACAAGATGAAAACACTGATTCTTGTGGCTTCTGCTCTGGCAGAATTGGACCTCACTTAACAAGAAGTGCAACTGGCTTCCACAAAAGTTAAGTGCTATTCACTGTGAGCAAAGTAATGAGAATCTGCCTTCAAGTATCTGGCTCAGAACTTTCTTTTAAGTTCTCCCCACCAAAGTACACAGTGGATGGTTTAAAAGAAGCTTCAACACTTCAAATCTACCTTACGATTTATTTGTGCTTAGCGAGGGCTCCACTCTGCACAGTGCTGATGTGCTTTGCAGCAGTGGCAAGAAAAAAAAGACTACAATATACAACAAAAAGACTGCAAAGCGTGGGCTTATTTTTGAGATAGCTTTGTCTGGAGGTCTTCCTTTTCCCTTCCATAGCCTCACAGGCAGTAAAGTTCTTTCCCTTGTACAAAAGCTGGGGAACGAACGATAAGGAATTTATTTATTTCATTCAGAGGGACAATGGCACCAGCATCTGAGTTCTCTGTTGGCCTGTAACTCCCCCATTGCAGGAGCAGTATAAACATGCACACTAAAGCACTGAACAGCACTTTTGTATTGAATGGTGGGTGGGTGAGTGGGGGGGGTAACCTGAGCGAGTCCACAGCCTTTATCTGTGATAGATATGTAAGAAAAGAGCCTGGCATTTTGAAGGCTCAAAGAAATTGAATTCATTATTGGGACAGTCTCTTCCCTCTTCCTTCTCTGATACAGCCACCTCTGTCTCATACATCCATGCACATGATGGTTTCTCACTTTTAAAATATTGCCCTTGGTGTACACATTTCTACAGTGGCAACTTTAAAAGGTCTTTAATATTATTCATTGCCAAAGCAGAGCTGGTTTACTGTGAAATCTTACATCAAGAAGATTGCTATTCTGCTGTTGTTTCTTTCCTATTTCTTTCCTTTTTCCACATGACGTTCCAAACCTCCTGAAATAAAAATCATCTCTGTTTTTCCCTTACACGTTCTGACTTTTATTTCATGGTCCTGATTTGCCACTTATAGAAGAAATTAGCAGGAAAAGATCTCGTTTGGCTACTGCTTCTCCTAAGCTGCCTATTTGTCTTTGTCACCAGCTCAAATTGATTGCCTCAGAGCACAGAAGAGCAGACCATTAAGTGGAGTGTCAATACCCTTGCACTATCAGTTTCATGGGGCTAAATCAATCCAATAAGCTGGATGTGAAGGAGTGCTGCAAGTGCTGGTGATGTGTCCCAGGACGGAGGCAGAAATTTATGCATAGCCTGTGACACTATTATCTTTTAATGATAGAGCTTTAAAGTACAAAACAAAGGTGGTATTGCTTATGTATGTGGGCTCATCCTGCCAACAGCAAGTATAGACTACTGGGTATAAAATGCTGGGAGAAAAAGGACAAGTAGAGAAAAGAGTGCAAGGAAACGTGCCTTTGCATTCATAAAATGACTAATGCAGAACCACCAAACTACTTCAACCTGGTAGCAGCACTCAGACAAGAAAAAATGTCCTAGGGGTCCTGTTAGCCAGAAGTCATCTCTCTTTGGAACTATCCTGACTCCTTGTTTTGTGCTGCACACAGTAGCAAGTCTAGAAACAAATGCTGAAGAGGTTGGATGAGATGGCAAACCTGGCTGTGCAGAATTTCATGCTGGGTCACGACGTGGCAAAAGACTTGAGGGTGCATATCTTTGGGTCTGTCTGTGTAGTGTTAGGGGGAACACAGTTGGCCTATGTCAGGGGAAAAGATGTGATTTTATCCCACGGTGACATGACATAGCCCTTGTCTTTTTTTCTGCTTTGCTGTTGTTTCTGAGAATTCTCTTCCTGAGCGTGAGGAGCCTGATGGAATTAAAAGCTCTGCTTAACTAAATGCATCTTCTTGATTCTCTGTGAAATAAATACAGAATTAAAATCTATTGAGACCTCATGATATACTTATGACTCTTTCCTAGGTTTTACCTCAATTTTGTTACTGAAGAAGTGGAAAACCCTGAAAAGTATGTACCTATTTTTATTATATTTTTTTAACTTTTGAAGGGTATTTGTAAAATACAAAATGCTGTAAAAGTAGTGATCTTCAGAAATTCCGCATGCTGGTCAAATTGCTTACTTTCCAGCAGATCTGATATCTGTTTGAATTGCAACTACTTGAAGATTTGCTATTTTTGGCCTGTCGTGACCTTATTATGTGTTCTGCTTTCATGTGCACGGAGAGCAGAAAACTAAGCAGCTCTCCAGGGCTCCGATCTCCCCCTCAGGATACAAGTAACTATCAGTGGCTCCTTTCAGTGAAAGTTGCTGCTATCCTGTCAGGGAAATTTTGCCCGAGAAACTTCTCTGCTGCAATATTTGGCAGTTTTGCTATGTTTAAATATTAATCCAATACTTAGTTCTTCTTGCTTTAGATGTCCCTATGTTGCAGGAGCTTGAATGAGTGCAGAACAGCATCCCATCCAATTAAGCCTAACATGGAGTATTGGTGGGAGTCTATTTCAAACCAGAGATGAGATCTCTCACAGCACCTGTCTGCAAAATGTGAAAAGAAAAGCTCTCCTGTTACGGACAGCTTGATTTGGCGGGTCTGCTTTGACAGATACATCTTGGTGGAAGTGGCCAATAGTAAAACAATATTAACCTTTTCTGCAATTAAAGAAGACATCTTGCCAAATGAAATTGGGTTATTTGAGGGAAAAAAATAACTATTTACTTGTTTTAAAATGATCAGACAGATGTCATTTCCTTAGGTGTTTTTTTTAAATGAGACACGTGACTGTGTACCAAATAACTCTGTTTAAAAGGATCTCCAGCACTATATGATCATGTAAAGCTGTACATCTGAGATGTGTAAAGAAAAAAAACAACACACAGCCATCAGTGGGGAGCATGCTGAAGGGCTTTAGGTGGCTACTTCAAAGTCTCAGCTCATCCTGGTGCTATTCGGTATTTTTCTGAGAGACCTAAAAATAATTATATATATAAAAAAGATGTTAAACATGAGGGTGGCAGAAAGGC